CGATGGCGTGCGTGTGTGTGTGTGTGTTGTGGTGTGTGTGTGTGTGTGTGTGTGTGGTGTGTGCGTGTTGCGCGCACGGTGTGTGTGTGTGTTGTGTGTGTCGTGCTGTCTGTGTGTGGTGTGCGCGCGGCGCGCGTGTGTGTGTGGTTGTGTGTGTGTGTGTGTGTGTGTGTGTGTGTTGTGTGTGTGCGTGTGCGCGCACCGTCGTGTGTGTGTGTGTGTGTGTGTGTGTGTGTGTCGTGTGTGTGTGTGTGTGATGTTGTTGTGTTGTGTGTGTGTGTGGGTGTGTGAGAGAGAGAGAGAGCAAAAGAGTTCTTGCATGACAGCATTCACTTCACATACTACTTCGTTTCTCATCTCTGGCTGACTGGCTTTTACGGAAAAAAACACGCGGACAATTCTTCTGCGCGGAGCGCCCTGTTGCTCGTCTAAGTAATATAATATAACAGCCTATCCCATTACTTGTTGTCTACTTGCCCTATATATGAAATCACGATCCTATTATACTGATGATGATATAGCGATCAAATATACCGGGATGATAGGGGACCGCTTATTATCCTACTCTGACTGCATATAGCTTATCATCATATATAATATATATATATACCCTATATATTATATATATATATATTATATATATATATAGTATATATATATATATATACTATATAGGGTGATAACAGGCTATCCAATCAGCCAATGAAGGAATAAGTAACCGAGAAGCGCAAATCTACATGGCTCAACGTACTTGCAATCATCGACCAGTAACAGTAATGGGCGAACGTATAGCCAGACTAGACGATGCTCGGGCATAAATAGCCCCCATCGAGCTAGAGCTAGTACATGATGCTCAGTGTATACAGAAGAAGAAACATGGTCGGCTTTCCCAGCTGTAGCGCCTGCGCTCTGAAATCGAGCAACAAGTTCGCTTAAAATCTGGGCAGATACTCATATAAGCTCGTGCCAGTCAGCAACGAACATTGAAGTAACCCGAATTTACGCGTCGTCCTTCCAGGCGCTTTTCGATCTGGTACGCGTAACCTCATCACTACTGAAGCATCTGACGCACCTGCTCACCATAACTGATGGACGAAAACAAAATTTACTAGAGCGATATCGCTAGCATCAGTAGCAACCACAACTCCTCTCTAAGTAAAACATTACTTAACGCACTAGTAACATGACTTTACGGGCAACCAATCACCGCAATCTGCACTGGTAAACCGCTGCTTTGTGAATGCAGTCTCTTTCTATTCGTGGATGTGTGATCGTCGTACTGCTAAATCTTCAATATAGGGAGTGTCGTATATTCAATGCCGGTACGGGAGATGACCGGTACGCATATATTTGGCTAATATATTGACTATCGTGAGTCCAATAAACTCAATATTCACAGAAAGTATACGGCTAAGACATGGTGTCTATAGGTATCTAGAGATATATTATGGCACAATTTTGCCCACCGTACCAGCTGAATTGCATACTCTCTGGGAATATTGAGTTTATCTGACGTCCACCGATTAGTTAATAGGTACAAATATAAAATTATATATGAAGCGCGGAATGTGAATTTACAGATGATTACATTTCTAAAATTCGAGATACCTATAGACACATGTCTTAGCTATACTCTCTGTGAATATTGAGTTTATTGACGCACGATTAGTCAATATAGTAGCGAATATATGCGAACCGTTATCTCCCGTACCGGCTTGAATATAGACACCCCCATTTCATAAGCGCGAGCACGCCTACGCATCGTGTTTTTTCGTGTAATCGGTGCGTTTTACTACGTTTTACAGTTTTTTCAATGCCATCACGCTGACTTATGGTTTAATTCATTCACACGGGTTGTTCCGCTTATGTCTGTTACAAATTACCTGCGTTATTATTACCCGGATTGTTATTGCGTTATTATTACCCGGATATTATTACCCGGATCTTTTATAGCCCTGGCAAACTGGAGTCCTGCAGCTAGAATGGAGATGAGACTACACGAGCTTTATTAGCGTTACAGACGATGCCAAGCGTGTTGTCGATCCAACAATTACGGACTCAATAGAAAGATTTTCATTACGTGAATGGCGTAGAAAACACACGCAATAGGTGTAACATGTGCGAAATTAGTTCGTAACGTAGAGAACTCGTGAAAAAAAGGCAAATTGGGGTACACGTAGCCAGCCACACGGAGTTACACACCGTTGTAACTATTCGGCGCCTAAGTGGGATATAGCGCGCATCCATAACTGTTACAGTCAAGTGTATAAAGCTACACAGTTACACAGTGTAGTGTATATACGCCTGGTATATACGCCTGGTATATATAGTGTATATCGTACACGTGAGTATATAGATGGGTGGATGGATCAGTGGTTCTTGCACGTGTGCACCGAAACCAGGCGTGCACCTATATAGGAGGCCTATATCATCATCGGTACTACCCGAGATAAGGTGTGTGCATGTGTGAACCAGGGCCGGTTCCAAGGCTGAGGCTAGACAGTATTTTTCCAGATTTAAAGGGCACATCGCCCAAAAAAGGCACATCGCCCAAAAAAGGCACATCGCCCAAAAAAGGCACACCACCCCACAGTGAGCGCAAAATTTCGAAGGGCACTTTGAAATCTAGACCGTATTTCCCAATACGGCAAATACGGTCTGAATGTGTTTGCGTACTCCCGTCGTCACACTCGTCGTGGAAAATTTTTCGAGAAGCGAGACAATTTTTTTAGACGTCAACTGGTATCCAGGGAGCCCTGGCGTGCGTGCCGGGTGATACTCCATTAGGAGTGTTCCCAACTTTAATGTCACTAATGGATATATAATAATGGTCATAATAACATATATATTATATATATATGGTCATATATTAGTTTGTGGTTTAATGTCATTTAGGTTAGGGATAGGGTTAGGGTTAGAATTATCAATCATTAATCATTCATCATTAATCATTAATGATATCAAAGTTGAGAACACTCTAATGGAGCGTTAGCCTGCGTGCCCGGAGAAACATGCGATATACCCACCCCCGCCGCCGCCACGCTAATCCATATACAGCCTCTAAGCACGCACGAGTCCGCGCGTACCTAAGCGTTCAGTAGATTTTTTGAGGTCACCTTTCCGATAAAAAAATAACCAACAGTTTCCCAGAGACGGGACGCGGGCGGGCTTTTACACCGGATCGCGCGTTCTTCCTCGGCCTGGAACAGGGTTTCCGTAGCGGATCAATAGACACACACAGCGAACACGTGCACGGCAGGCGCTCGCAACGCCAACCAGTCAATGGCTAGCGTTTGTCAGCGAGCTCCCGCGCTCCCATTGGCGGACGACATGCGCGGATCACGTGAACACGGCCCCTGCGAAAACAGAGCGAGGGAGAGAGAGAGGCGAACCACCGGCATGTAGGCGTTTCGGTAGTAACCGCGCCGGAAATAAAGAACCCAGTAAACATTCGTGACAGTGTGTACGTGCTAGTATCACGCAACAGTGCTCCCTGATTACGTATGAAGACGATCAGCTATTTAACGTATCGGCACGTACGGTAGACCGCTGTCAATATTCTCAGAGACAGGGAGAGGAAGCGCTAGCAGAAACGCAATAAACGAACTACCGCCGCAACTCTGCATGCCGTGTGGTGGTAAATAGAAGAACGGAAGCACGTATACGTCACTCAGCCCAGTACCGAGAAGGAGAGAGGTAGGTGGGCGCACGCCCCCTGCGCTTTACGTAGCACAGTCGACTTCATTATATATACATGCAGGAGTCTATCAATTCAGGAGTCTATATTCAGGAGTCAATATTCAGGAGTCAATATTCAGGAGTCTATATTTGATAGACTCTTGATACATATATATATATATATACTCGGCGAAGATACTGATCATTTATAAGAAGGTAGGTATATTGCAATTGCAGGTCGATGTTCTTGGATGTATTGGCGTTTTGTTTTTCTCGATCCTACTTTATGATTTGTGTTGTGATTTTATCGACGGACTTGAACTGTGCATCTGTTTCTATAAGTGTGTTTGTAGGTTCGCAATACTGAATGCGATTGATAGATATTGTGATATAGATTGGTGATCGAACTAAACGATCAGTAACTAATTGCGATTGTGATATGTGTCAGTGATATGATGCTGATATAGATAAAAGACAGAATTGCAGCTCGTGTGTTTTTCTGACCATGCAAGTAGATGAGAGTGCGAACACGAGCTGGAAACAAGCCCAACAATCCAGATACAGACGCATTGCAATACAGTACAATTGTAATGTGAAGATATCGTCTAGATATCGATCAAAACAGCACCGCGGCTTGTTCGTGCGTGCGGGTAAATAATGTGGAGGTCGAACTCGTGATTGATATAGAGTATAGATTAATGGCGCCGTCACCCGTGCACCTTTGTTGCCGGCGGCCTGGGCAAGGCCAGTGGGCGGCTCGCCGATGCATGACGTGTGGTATTCCCGATTGCCGCTGACACCGGTCTGACCAGTACGTCGGAAACTATATATATGTTACTTGCGACGTAACCCTATCATATATGGTTGCTCATACCGAGATTGGTAATTGCTGCAGTCGTATTTAGTGAGGAACGAGTTGCGGTTATTTCTGGCTGCAGCGCTGACAAAACCTTCGCAGAAAAAACGGGGGAAGTCGCTGCTGCGTCTGAGAATGCTGCTGATGTGCGAATGGACTCACGCACGTGATATCTGCCGGACGGCAAATACGTGTGCACGTGCCTGTGGGGTGTAAAGCCTGTTTCACCCACGGCTGGAGTGGTATGGTGGCTCGCAACCCAGCGCGCTTGTGGGTCAAAAATAGACGTGTGCACGTGACTCATGCATGCAAACGCTTGCGGGTAGCGTGTTGCGGAGGCGTACGTGAGTAGGCAGGCCTAAATAATGGCGGTTAGGTGATCTACGATGTTCGGCTGTATTTGTACTGAGTTTTCGAGAATTGGTCAGCAATTAAGGCGCGCGATATTCACCGACGATGCGACCGTGTTGTATGCGCGACTTCGTAACAAAGCTTGCTGATGTTTCTAGAAGTGGTAAAGAATTATAATTATGATAACGTAACGGTAACATAATTATTGCTGCTGCTGCCGTTTCTGTTATAGAGCCGTGTTCGCGATATATGTAGCGATATTGGCAGCCAGCGCCCAGCCAGCGGCAGTTAATGTAAGCGGGCTATATAGTACTAGAGCTACGATATATGTATCACTATGTATACGTTGGCGGGCTCGTGGCGCCATCAGTTGGCTGAAAATTACCTATTTTTAGGCCGCATTAGCAGCTGGTGAGTCCAGTGTGTCATGAGTTCATGACCCCTTTGTGTCCAGGCTGACCATTGTGGCTGCATGTTTTCATGTTTCACATGGTCAGATTGATATTCTCGTTTAATCAGCTGTCCTCTCTCCTCCACTCCCTTGTATGCTAACTGTTATAGCCGTCTCTGTTCTTCCTTTTTATGCTCATTATATATCCTCTTGTGTTTCTCTCTCTCACTCTCTCTCTCTCTCTCTCTCTCTCTCTCTCTCTCTCTCTCTCTCTCTCTCTCTCTAGGAGAAATAATTTGTTCGAGAGTGAGAGTGATGAGATTGGGAGAGACAGTGGGGGAGAGAGAGAGCGCGCGCGCGAGAGAGAGGGAGAGAGAAAGGGAAACTGCATACCGACCATCAAGGCCGCGGTAGAGGATGCCACGATGTCACTGCATGCACGTAGAGAGACAGCCAGATATAGCTGCAGCCAACGCACTAGAGAAAACCTACCGCTGTTTGCAGGCACCAAAAAACACATTTGTACTTCGTCTAGGGGCTATGGAGATCTGTCTGCGCACCTTGTATATCGGCAGTATCAAGAGTTACATGGTGCGTAACCCACCGCTCATTCGACTATAATATCAGATAATATCAAGAGCGTATCAGAATATTCTTTATACGTTTCTGATCAGATGTATCAAGAAGGATTTCGATAAGACGCATCAGCGCGCGATCGCATTAGCTCCGAGTAAAATGTGTTCATTGCCGCATCCGCGATTGTATGCATCGTAAAAGCACTTTAGTCAGTGTTGTCACTTCCTATATGCGCGTCTGCACGAGCATAAGCCACTTTAATTCCTTGCTAACCCTACACGTAGGCCTTTGTTGATATATATCTTTAGCGTGCTCGAGCAACTTGACGACACGCTACAAAGCTCAAAACCAGTTACTTCATGATTCCTCTGATTTATGATTCCCACTTGAATATATATATGTAAATTCAATATAGCGTTTTGCCATGCTGTAACTCACAGAGCTGGAGAATGTTATCGATAGAATCAAGAGCTAATAAACACCTAATTTAAATAAACAGGTATATTTATACGCTCTTGATAGAATTTATGTAAGCTAGCTGGCTGAACGGTATACTTATGCACGACTAAGACAGGTACATGCATCCCATGATACATCGCCGAGAAAGCCATACCATTACTTCTCCATGCATCACTACATATACATTACATCGCATTACATGCATATCAGGAGTTAATAAAGATAAATGTCTTTATTATTAACTCCTGATACATATACAGATACATCGCCTGACCGCCCCCTTCCCCATAACCCATATATACATTGTTGCTATCACACAGGCGCTCACACCTCACACACACGCACGAACGCACACAGAAACGCACACACAGAGTACCATGGGATATTATGTTCTCGGCAAAGATATCAAAAGACAAGGAAAGACTCGGAAGACAAAAAAATTATCATCTCTCGATCGGTATATATTAGATTGAATCCTCTCGCCGATACAGATCTGGAAATGAGTTCAATAAAGAGAATATGCGACACACGTCAGGCGTTACAGTAATTAATGTGTGTTAACGGTATTTCTCCTGGGAGCTGACACGCGCCTTTTGCCGAGGAATACAAACTTATGCAGTTCAGGGTAATTTCCGGCCCCGCATTACTGCTGCAGTGTTATTTGGTGGTGTTACGAAGGCGCGACCATAACGCTGCTGTCGTAGTATCTGGTTTGTTCAGTGGCTAGACTTACAGTGCAGTTATAATTAGTACAAGCGGACGGAAGATATGTGTATGTATAAAAAAAAAGCGGATTCGAGCAGTGGACTGACATATTTATATTGAGTAGAGTGAATCAAAGAACTAAAGCGCTATTGGCAGAGACACGTTGTAATCTCTCTATGTACGCGTATTCTACTCAAGACCGTCGTCTGTATTGATTACAGGATAATCACCCATTCGCCAAGAGACCATAATATCCGTTCGCATCTCCCGCAGAGTCCCGGATGAAGCTCAGCATGCAGGTGGTTGAAAAACACCACAGCGTCATCTTGTTAATTAGATGGTTATATGTGCGTGTGTGTGCGCATGCACGTACGTGCCTAATTGCACACATATATATATATATATATATATATATATATA